TCTACAACTTCAACACAATGCTCCCATGCTGCATCTGTTTTGGCCCTTGAAGTTTGAGAACATGCAGCAGTTGAATTTTGTTCAGATGATGACATACTTTTGTAATTCTACAACAAAATAAAATAAAATCATTAATGCAGCCCAATACAAAACAGATAAGGCTAGAAAAATTGTCAAATAAGTATTTAAATCCATTTCAATGATCAAGAATCTTGGTAATTCTTATAAATAACAAAACCAAAACTTAATAATAGATTCAATCGGTTGCAGATGAACATGCAAAATACAGAAATGTATTACTAAACTAAAACAAATTTCGTTCACTCATAAACAGATTATTAATCCTCGCTGGTGAAACAGAGAACCAGCTGAAGTGATAATGAACAGGGCAATGGATGGAACATTAGGCATCTTAAAGGCATGCTTGAAATCAAAGACGGTCAGACGAGTTGTTTATGACAAAGAATTGAAACAGAAATGCAGAACATGCAAAATACCAAAACAAAATTCAAATTGAATTTCACATAAATAAATATACTCTGTAAATAAACTCAAAAATCAAAATGCAGAGCAAAACCCAATCCGAAATAAGCAGTAAAAAGATAAGAAATTTACTAAACTAAAGCAACAAAATGCAGAGCAAGGTAGCAAGCTTAAAGTGATTCACTGTTCTGTACCTGAAGGGAATCGGAGAAGAAATATTTCAGGTCGAACCGTCGAAGAGGATCCAGAGAGAGAACGACATCGGGAGAAAGAGGAAAATCTGATGAAGAACAAAAGGAGTATGAGGATCAAGTAAAGCAACGAAATGCAGAGCAAGGCAGCAAGCTGAAGCCTGAAAATGATTCTGTACCTGAAGAGAACCGGAGAAGAAAAATTTTCAGGTCGAAGAGTATCCAGAGAGAGAACGACCTCGGTGAGAAGATGAAAATCTGATGTAGGACAAAAGAAGTATGAAGATCGATCGATCGAGAGGGAGAACGACCTTGGCGATGGTGACAAGATGAAGATCTGATGAAGAACAGAAGAAGTGTGATTCCGAATCTGGACGGAAGAGATAAGGAATCGTTGTTTCGGGTTTCTTCTTTGCAATTTGTTTGGAATCGAAGAAAGAATTGGAGAAGGAGAACTGCACTGTAAACTGGAGATGGGGGAGGAGATGAGTCGAAGAAGAAGTGAAGAACTGGAGAAGGCTTAGGGTTCTTGATCTAATTTAGTGATTTTACCGATTTGCATTCAAATTTTGTTTTTTTTTAAGTATTTTACCATGTAATTGTAATGTGTAGAGGAGGGTAAAAGGGGTATCAAACAAAAATAAAAGGTGTAAAATAAATATTGAATTAAAAAATGGTTGAAAAAATTGAAAATGGCATATTTGAATTTGGCCCGCCGGGTTTACCGGGTTGTCCGGGTTTACCGGGTCTGGCGGTTCTGGCGGGTTTGGGCGGTTGGATCGCCTCACCGGGTCTGGGTATGCATTCGGTCCGTTTTCATGACCGGGTGACGGTTCGACCGGTTCAACCG